TAAATAAATTGTTTGATAAAAGTTTTTTTGGTAAATATCATCTTGTGAGTTGGTAATAACAATTAGAAATTTTCTACCTATGTATTTATTCATATTTTTTATTAGAACAATGGCAAAACGTTCAAACACGAATGAGTCTCATGACACAAGTAGTAGCGAAGATGAGCTCCAGATAGACGTTTATACAGATATGTTAGAAATGTTACACAGAAATGTTACTACAGATATGTAGAAGGTTTTCTTCTACAGTTGGTCTATCGTTTCGATAGCAGTGATAGTGATATCGTCCAAGCAACAAGGCGACGAAAGAAAGAGTTCGCATAGATAGCGATTACAACGACAAAACAAAATTATAAAACAAACAATAACAAAATTATAAAAAATAAAATATTGATTTTTTTGCAAATTTCTCGGTATCAGCCAAATTCATATAAGCCCAATATCATTATGATATGTTAGTTAGTTCCAAAACCANGGTATCAGCCAAATTCATATAAGCCCAATATCATTATGATATGTTAGTTAGTTCCAGAACCATACTAAATAATACGAGGGTCTGTAAATGCCCGTTTCTGCCGAAAAGTGGCGCCGAGTAGCTGGTAGCCAACGTCCAGAATGTTTCGGAGTGCTAAGGGTTAATAAAATAACACACTCCCTAATAGTATAAGATCACAGAGACAAGCACCGATACTGGTAACTGTTACACTGCTTGGATGCAGTGATGATTTGTTATTTTCTTCTCTTTCTTATCTCTGCAATCACTATCGCCGGTGCTGTGCACATACTGAAATTTGTTAGTCGCTAAACTTATTCGTAACCTTAAAAATAGAAATGGATGGAATTCTGGAATCTGAAAGCAGGTTTTCTGATTGTAGTGCAGACAAAATTATCCCGCTAAAAAGAAGACGAATTAGAGAAATAAGATCCGATAGTGATGATAGTGATAGTGATTGTGAAGTGCCTATCTGCATCCCACATTTCAAATATTACCACACTGAACAAAATTTCTAACAAATAATGCTGAAAAATGATTTTCTTTTTTTACTTTTACACAATTTTACACCTAAATATAAAATAAACATTTTTCGGTGATGTGGGCCTTTTTTTCATATTTCCATATGATGCAAATTGGTTAAATGTCAAATCGCATCCTGCCGAGTTTTGTAGAAATTGTTTCAACAGCCTTAAAATAATATTTCCGTCCTGGAAAGCGAATTCGCGGACCGTTGTGCGCTGCGCGTGCAATGTTCCGTGATCTTTGAATCTTACGGGTCGACAAACGTTCGTCGCGCCGCACAGTGGTATAAAAGCTCGAGATCATGGTCAAAATCCAAAAAATCAAAGTTGTCGTTGGGGAGTTTTTGACTTACGGATTGGTTGGTTTAATGATGCGTCCGTGTGTTGGGAAAAACGAAATGACCCATACTTTTATACCTGAATGGCAATTACACTTCGAATTTCGAGTTTTTCGGGCAGTTATTACTCGTGATCGAGAGCGACAGTACGAAGTGAATTGTTTAAAGCGTGTATGTTTTTGTGGAAGTGTTTTTTTTCCAATTGTGTAAAATGGATATTGTTCCTGGTAGCAAGTACAATATTTTGTACCGCTAACATCTCACGAATTGTTAACTATTACATTGGTAAATCGATAAATTGTAGATTCAAATTATAAAAGCAAATGGAATGCATTACAGTCGAAACTTTTGCAGCCTACGAGGACCTGCTTTCAAATTTACAGAAGCCATAGCTGCACTTAAAAAATTGGCTGCATCGCGTTGCACTTTTTTCAGTTACAACCATTCTTGTGAGTCAACGTACGGGAAACCGTCTCGTGAGGGTATCTAAGACAGAATAACTTTCTAAAAATCGTGCCAAATTGCTTACATTGTTTTAAGATGTTAGAAAAAAAACACTTTATTAGGCAATGTCGAAAATTATTTTGAAAAAAGATAAAATTTGTTAGATTGAAGGAAATGTTTCAATTTTTGGTTTTCTATTGTTAGGATCTCGTGACAGTCGATACTGTCTAACTAGGAAAGAAGTGTTCCTTATTATTAAAGAAAACTTAGATAGTGGCAATAATTCAATAATAGAATATTATAAGCAAAAAACAAGGGAACTGTATACAGGACCTTCGGCTTCGTAGCCGATCGACCTTCCCGCATAGCCACGAAACCTACCTCGTTTCCCAATTTTTCAAAACCCCATACGCCATATTTGATCCGCCATTTTATTTTTTGGAATTTTTTAATTCATATTCGTAATCAGGATTTCCGAAGATATATGTTCACCAATTTTTGTTAAAATCAAATCATTTTTCCAACAACCCATCCGCCATATTTGATCCGCCATTTTGTTTTTGGAATTTTTAAATTCAGATTCGTAATCAGGATTTCCGAAGATATAATGTTCACCAATTTTTGTTAAAATCAAATCATTTTTTCAATAACCCATCCGCCATATTTGATCCGCCATTTTGTTTTTGGAATTTTTAAATTCAGATTCGTAATCAGGATTTCCGAAGATATAATGTTCACCAATTTTTGTTAAAATCAAATCATTTTTTCAACAACCCATCCGCCATACTTGATCCGTCATTCTGTTTTTGGAATTTTTAAATTCATATTCGTAATCAGCGACCATGAAAACCCTTACATACAAATTTTCAAATAAATCCGTCACTATTTCTTATTTTGACCATGATTTCGAGCTTTTATACCACTGTGCGCCGGCCGAATAAAAGCAGTGTTCCTACCTGTACTCGTCCCGCGCAGATCGCCTCCCTCAGTCTGTGCTGCGAGCCGACGAACGGTAGCGTGCCAGTTAGTAATACATGAAGCAGGACACCGGCCGACCAGACGTCACCGGGTTTCCCGTACTGTTTGCGCTGGATCACTTCCGGCGCCATGAAGTGCGGGCATCCAACACGACCTGGACGACCAAGAACATGATCAGGTGGCCGCGAAATAATCTCCGCCGTGCCGGGAGCAGACTTGAAGCGAGGCGCCAGTGATTGCTTCGTGAGCCCGCAGTCGATCGTTACAATTCGAAGAAACTTCGGTGGGTGTTTGTCAGTTCGCGCTCGAGTTCGCAATAGCGGCCGGGCGGCGCGGGGAGAGAAGAGCTCGGGAAACTGTTACCCGCGCCGGGTATCAGTGACCGGGAACACACAAGAACCGCGAGCACCGCGTCTCGGCGAATTCTCCTATTTATCGGCTAATTGGAAGCTCTTTGCCCGGCGAATCGCGAGCACCGAACTTCTCTACAGGATCTCCCAGAAACGCGGGACCCCGGCGGAAGCATCCATATCTTTCACGCGGACGCAAATTGCAAGCTCCGTTGTTCGGTGGTTGCCAGGCTGCCGGCTAAGCCGTGACGTCACCGCCACGCTCGGATCGGGTGACGAAGCAAGGAGCGGCGAGTGGGAGAAACGCCGACAACTAGCGTCGACTAGCGGCAGCGTCGCGGCACTGCGTTACGTTTGATCGGAGCAGACGCGTGCCGTAAGCGAAGCCACTATCGTCGGAGGCGCGAGAGTAGATCCGAAAAGCCGAACTAGCCCGAGATAATCCGAACGTCGGTGACGTCGCGGTCTAGCCGGCAGCCTGGCATCACTGAATGTCCTTTACCATCTTCTATGCTACGGTTTCTTCAATAAATTGGAATCATCAGACTTTGAATTCCTGTATAGCAACAATATATTATCTCTGCTATTTAAAACTAAAGGCGCAAAGTTCTCTGCTTTATTTAAACGAGTGCAAGAAAAGGCACTCTAATGGAAGATACTATTTTCTGATTTTTTAATAGTAGAACTACCGAGCCCTGAATGCGACTAATGTACAGGGTTCCCCGGAAAGAATCATCCGATTTCAAAAATTTATATTTTAAAAAATTACACACAGAAAATTATAATTCAAACACGAATATAACGGGAAAATGTGCGAGTTTTACTTTTTATTATTTTTTTCTCATGTACCAAACCGTTGGATTGGTCGCAGTTCATCCGATAATGTGGTTCTACACAGTTGGCCTCCGAGATTACCCGGCCTAACCCCATGCGACTCTTCCTTTGGGGATTTGTGAAGGATCTTGTCTTTGTACCACCTTTACCTACAAGTGTAAATGAACTGAAAAAACGCATTTGTGATGCTGTACAAACAATTACCAGAGATACATTACACCGTGTTTGGTAAGAACTTTCATATCGCAATGATATCATACGTGTAACAAAAGGAAGTCATATTGAACACTTGTAAACAAAAACTCACACATTTTCCCGTTATATTCGTGTTTGAATTATAATTTTCTGTGTGTAATTTTTTAAAATATAAATTTTTGAAATCGGATGATTCTTTCCGGGGAACCCTGTATATCGTTTTATAACAATGACAAGATCGAATTTATTTGAACTTCCTACGGCTTTCGGTATACGTTTTTATTAGAATTGTATTATAATGTATATTATAAATAGAATATAATTATTGTAACTGTATTATAATAAATATTATAAATAAAATATTGTTATTATAATTACAATATTGAACGAAGAAGTTCATATAAAAATTTCTGACAAAATATTTTTATAGTGTCGAGCTTTGTAAAAGAAAAAAGAAAGAAGTTATTAGAACTATTAGAACAGTTATTTGAACTATTTTCGTAGTTCTCGTGTTATAAAAAAAAACAAAGTACAATGGCTGCAACTAGGACTTCCGCAAAACAGATTCCAAGGAAAAGATTCTAACAGTTGGTAAGTCTCTAGATATTTTAAAAAACAAATGTTCCTAAACACAGCTTTCGCAGCAGAGAGAATCCCAAAAAATGAGCCTAGGTTGTAGGATCTAGATTATTGTACCGCGTCTTCCATTTTGTAGTGAAAACGAACTGGCAATTACTTAATTAATTTTTGTCAAAATGGCACCTCAATTATCTCCAAAACAGAGCGTTGATTTATAAAATGGGTAAAAGACGCTTCTATTTGCATCGGCGTAAAGAATATCCGCTTCTTCGGTCCCGCGCTTCCGAGACACCTTATAGACAAGCTTTGCCTGTTCTGTTTTTTTTTCACGTACAGCAGATCGACTGCACGGAGCTGAGTGTGTGTGATGCCAACAATCGGATGTCATGGTATGTATAAATGCGAAACGGAATGATACATTCAGTGAAAAGAGAACTCATTAGCGCATCTAGAACATAGTACGAGCATATATATATATATTTACGTGTTTCGTGAATTATTGCGCGCTAATCGAATCTATAAATATATACAGGGTGGTCCAGGTGACCTGAACATTTCCACCTGAATATCTCCTCCGATAGCGACGTTACAAAAAATTGTATAAAATGTAATCTGACTGGTATCAATAGACGAGTACGATGCAAGAAGTAGTTCCTTTCAAGGTCACCCCGTTCCCCCCGATTTTTCAAAATCATCCATATTAATTTATGGACACGTGTGTATCTTTTTTATCCTATCGCGTGGCTAACATTAAAAATAGATTCGGACATGCACAAATAGCTTGACCTTGGAGCGACCTTCAAACATGAAAACGAAACGTGAAATGATTGCCAGTCGATATTCCAACGCTCTGAGACGAATGCAATAATATACAACAAAAATATCAACATTGTCAACCTTGAAAACCCTGTGGGGGGAGAAATGACGTTGAAAAATTATGTCGAAGGTGCTTCATTGTGCTGCTCAAATTGATACCGGTCAAATTGTACACAATATCGTATTTTCTACGATATCGCTATTGCAGCGGAGATATCGCTATTGCTCCGGTTTAGGCGGAGACGTTCAGAGGTGGATCATCCTGTGCATACAACAGATCGGATACGCGTGAAGGGTCGGCTAAACAGTTCGCAGAGAACGAAGCTGCACAAGAATTTACGGAGATACACGTAGATAAACACTGACGAAAGAAAAAAGAAAGTAAGAAGGGTGGATGCGTTTGTCGATGCTAGAAAGCAGAAACGGCATGTAAGTATGTGGCCGGGTGCGCGGGGAACGTTTTCACAGTGAACGTCGATAACATCTTTGTCGCGTTCTTTGTACACGAAACGGCCGGGCATAGAATATTAATGGTGGAAACGCGCGCGGAGTGACTAGCCAGAAACGGAACACCCTAATTATTCCATCGGCGAGTGGAAGATCACGGATAAAACGTTGATTGCGTTTTGAACGAATCGTCGCGCGCGCGTCATTTTTCTTGCCCGCGTAATTAAGATAGCCAATTCTCTTCTGGCGACGCGTTTTTATCGCGTCATGATGCAACCCCGCTCATTTCTCACGAGCGTTTTCCCGGCCGTAATGTCCTGGAGTTTTACGTGGAAATTTACGAACTCCTCTTCGGCTGTGCGGCAAATAGTTACACGGGATCACGGGCGACAGCTTAACCGGGGCTTGTCCCAAGTCTATTTCGGATCCGATAACTATGCAAATCCCGCGTGAACTTATGTTATCGTACGGTCTAAGCCTGAATGCATTTTAAAATGTTTCGATAAGCTTTAATCTTTCGCTGTGAAACGGCCCTCCTAGAAAAGTGTACACTGTTGTTTCAGCCTCTCGGTTGACAAGTGGCCTATGTTCAAAATTAATTAGTTAGCTAGTTATTTTTTGTCGAGGTGATTGGTACGTATCGCCTGCATTTAAAAATGAGATAATTGTAGAAGCAGTGATTATTGTGGGCAGTGGTTTTATTTGACAATTAAAATTGTGTGTATTTTCTTTTATGTTGACGTAAAATTATGGTGAGTTTTATACGGTAAATATGGGGACTGTAACATTTTATGAAACAGTGGCGTATATAAGTCCGAGATTATGAAATATGAGATAATTGTAGAAATAGTGAGTATTAAGGGTAGTTGTTTTATTTATCGATAAAAATTGTGAATATTTATCTTTTATGTTGATGTAAAATTATAATGAGTTTTATACGGTAAATATAGCGAGATTGTAACATTTTCTCAGATAGTAGCTCAAAATAATAAAAAATGAGGTAGTTATAGAAATAGTATTAAGGGTAGTTATTTAATTTGCCAATTAAAATTGTGAAATGTCAATTAAAAATATTAATTAAAATTATGAAATTATGCTAACGTAAAAAACGAGTTTTACATGACAAATATGATGACTGTGACATTACCTAAAATCAACTTGTCAACTAAGAGGCTCATTTCTGTCGCTGAAAGGAAGAACATGTCGCATGTTTTCAATTCCGAGATATTGTTGCTTGAAGATCTGATCGCTTCTAATGCTTCGATTAATACTGTTTCAAATTGCATAATTACGATGAGTCTATAAAATTTGTTTTCACGATACTTCTCCGGATAAATACGTAGATGCTATATGAGCCGTTTATTTTGAAAATGGCATAAGTCACTTTACCGTAATGTGAAAAGTGGTGATTTTTTAATGTTTATACGAAATTATTTATACTGAGAAAAATATCAGTATCCGGAGATAACAAATACAAGTAAATCTTCTCGAAAGTTAGCATCCATATTTTTAAACGTGTTAAAACGCAAACCCTTAAATGTATCGACTTAAAAACAAAGCGACTTATGCCACTTTCAAAATAAACGGCTCGTATGGTACGATCCAACGAATACGTTAACTGAAATGTTTTGGAATTGTTACTCTAGCCTCGTTTATCCTTCTAACCACAGATTCTTTTCAAGCAATCACGGAACTTCTATCTTGACCATGTTCCACCGTTATCGTCCACGCGAAAATGTTAATCGCCAGGCGCCGTTTCTGATTAATTGCTCCGCGCGGAACGCGTACAGATATTCGCTCGGAGAGAAACACGAGACACGTTTACGCCGGTTGCGAACAGTTTATTCGATTGTAGTTTACGCCGAGAAGAAGTTACCGACACGGCAAATTGTTTACGCGCCGTCGTTGCTGCGTGCGATGACGCGTCCAATGC